AATTGCAATCACAATTCCAATCGCTATCCCAATTGCAATCACAATTCCAATCGCTATCCCAATTGCAATCACAATTCCAATCGCTATCCCAATTGCAATATCACCTGACCGCACGATGCGAATGCAGAGAAACGCCGAGAGGAGTATTGGTGTTACCCCCCTTCCATTTGCATAAAAGCCCCTACGGCGTAGCACACGTGGCGCATACTATGGGGGTGAAATTCGAGTTCTTCAGATTCTTCAAACTGAACTACTACGCCTTTTATGTGAAGAAGGAAAAGCTTTACACCTTTCTCCATACCACCACCGCGTATTCCCTCGTGGGGCTGACCATATATCTGGGTTAGATTTTGCAATACGGCTAGTCTGCGATGGTGTAGAGGCGATAGTGTACCGTCCTTAATGTAACATCCATAGTGTATCGGCGGGTCCACCCTCATGCGCACCTTTCCCCCCCGCAGGATACTCTTTCTTTCACATGTGGAACGACGCGGTACATTACTCGTACAAGCACTACATGAGGAAGGAAGTAAGAACGAGTCAAGCGTGAACATAGCGCTGTTGGATGCATTCAGCAAAAAAGTGTGAAGTGTTAATGGCAATGACTGCGGTGGGATTAACGCCTACTAACAGCAGAGAATATGTTCATAAATATATGTTTATTTTTTTTTTTTTTTAACGATATGGTTGTAACTGCCAAGAGGGCGGTACCCACGCAGCCCTACCACACACCACGTCGCTTCTATTTTCTTTTTTTTCTTCTCACCCACTTGTCCCAGAAACAACGCAAAGAACTGTACGAAAAAATTAGGATCGCTCGGGAGAATGGTCTCATCCCGAAGAGCGAAGTTGATCTCTCGAGGTAATCAACAGATTGGGCAGGCAACTAGCCAAAATAAGAAGCCAAGATAAGTAGCGAATCAAATTAGCTAGTCAAAAAAAAAAAAAGTGCACACATTTTGTTCCTGTTAAAAGGAATACCCATCTAAGAAAAACAACCCATGAAGAGAACACCCGTTCAAGAGGTTAAGGCGAATCTGCACGAGTATTTTATACCCACCCCAGGGGATGCTTCTCCCAATTGTACAATCACATTTGTCGAATAAGTAAAACAGGAAAGGTTTTTCACAGAGAAAATATTACCTGAACAGGTCAGCTTATTTTCAGTCAGGTAAAACAGGAAAAAGAAAAAAGCACGTATAAGCATTCCCCTCCCGTCATCAGGGACCCTACACCGTTGCACATAGTCAAACCAACAAAAAGAGATCAACCTTTCCAGTTAGACACCACGGAGAAGAATCACCTATCCGTGTGAAGACGCACAGAAAAGAGGAACAAACGCAACTTTGGTCAAACGTAAAAATGAAGAGCAAAACAAACAGCATGTGGTGTCTTATTCTTCCCCTTTTTTATGCCCTCCTGCCGACACAAATTGAAAGCAACTGTTGCCATAGCGCCAAAAGCAAAGATGGCTATCCAATGCCTATGTATTTTTCAAACGATATAAATATAAAATTTTTATTTGATTTTTTGCAAGTGAAGAATGAATACGAATTTTTCCTCTGCAACATTGTTTGCATTATGTTGGGCTTTCTATCTGTGTATGTTAAAGTGTTGAAGAAAAAAGCTTTCATGAAAGATTCGAATGGATTGAAGACCCAGCTTACCCTGTTAAGCATCCTCTTTTCTTGCAAAAGTGCTCTGTACGGGTGGTTGTCTTTTCTCAATTACACAATTGACTTCGCGCTGATGCTTATCGTTATGACTTTCAACGTGTTCATTTTTTTAAGTACCATTTTGGGGGTGGCCTGTGGCTACTTTTTTTACGGCCACCTGTTAGCGCTGTGAGGCAGGGGCAGAGCGGAGCGGCGCACCACCGCGTTGTACGTCACAGCGTTGTACACTACATCGCAGCAGACCCCATTGTAGTTTTTTTTTCTTAACCCATCGTTTAAAGCACCTCTGCGCCCTCCTCTTTGTACAAACTCTGCATTGGGATGCTTAGAAGGGGAAATAACAACTGCCCCTCCAGTGCGAAGTTACGCCTGTTTTGAGAACGGAAAAAAAAAAAATACCAATTGGAGAAAGAAGGGGAATACACCAATTGTGTAATTTCCCCGTGTGCCACACGTTTAACCAACTTTTAACCACTTTGTAACGAACTTTTTTTTTTTTCCATTTTAACAAGCACATAATTTCCTTTTTAAGCATACAAGAGGGCAAAACACATTCAGCCAAAAGTGCATACTACCACGTCGCATGGCGTCGTATCTGATTTGTGCACAAAGGGAGGGTTTCCTGCCTGCCTACTTGTACTTCCAATTGGGAACATAGTGCTCCCCATTTTTTTTGCAGATTTTCAAATTCCGTTGTTATTCTGCATTTCTGGGATGCGTCACTCTTTTTGTTTTAATTGTACGCAAAGTAGGCATATTTGTTTTTTTTTTTCCGGGGGAGGACAAACTTGTACTTCCAGCGTTGTTGGAGTGTTTCCCTCGTTATTAAATTGTTTCTCTGGAGTTGTCACGTTGTATTTGCCACGCTGCAGTCGCCACGCTGTAGTTGCCACATCGTCGCCTCCTGGCTTCACAAGAAAATGGACTCGACAAATATTAAACAGGGGCTAAGCAACGAGAACAGCGGTGTCCCCGACACAACGCTGAAAACGGAGGGCGGCACACACAGCGCCGAGGTGGGGGAAGTGACACCGAGTGGGAAGCGGGCCGAACTGGACATGGGGGTCGATACGGTTGAGTGCGGCATCGCCAAAGACGCGCAATCTGCCCAGAGACAAAAGGGGCAGAAAGGGAGTGTCCATGGGGAGAGCCACAAAAGGGAGAGCGGCCTGACCGATGACCAGCGGTCCGATCGGAAGAAGAGCCAAGGACAGAGTGAGATCCCCACCCCACGCAGCGATGTCGAATTTCACAAACTGTACGAAAGCGACGACAACAATATTGTGTCCCCACGGAATAGCTCCACTAGTGAGTCCCTAAAAAAAGAAGAGCTAGACAAAGAGAGCAAAAAGAAAAAAAAAAACAACAATAACGACAATAACAAGAACAACCACCGCAACAACATGATGCTTAACACAACAATGCTGCAGTCATACATTAACAGAAGCTACGACAAAGTATCGAGTGCTTTTATTAAAACTTCTAAATCGTTGCTGAAGAGAACAAGTAACATTGGCTACTCCGAGAGGGGAAGAGATGTAAAAGGGGGCAGCTCCGACGGGGTCGATGCGGGAAGTAAAGTTGAAAAGGCCAGGGCAAGGCTGCTGAGAAGTTGCCTTACCGGGACGGAGAAGCGGGTGGAAACGCACGCGGCAGGTGATAAGGAGAGTGCATCGGATGACCTCTCCGCCTGCCATGAGCCCGACGAAAATGACTTCTTCACCGACAACTTCGATTTGATAAATAAAACGTTAAGGGAAGATAACAGATGGGGGGAGGAAAATAAGGAGCGTATGATGGGAAAGTGCAAGAACCTACTAAATGGCAATGATGCAGCGAAGCTATATAACAAAATCGATGACCTCTACGAGGAGAGGATCCTACTCGTCAAATATATTAACTACTACATGGATATAAATGAGAAACATCAACGTGAGTTGCAGAAGATCCAAACATCGTACGACATTTTGCTCACAGAGAATGAGCAGCTCAGTCAGAACAACATCACGCTGAAGAGGCACATTGATTTGTTGCGCACTGGGGACACGCGCGCGCAGGAGTGACGGGGCGAACCAAGCGGTGAACTTATGACGCAGTTGAGCTGACACAGAAAGCGCCTCTGCAGTTGGCCCTCTTAAGATGGGACGTCACTCACCTTTGTGCTTACGTCGATTAGGACATAGACATTTGCACAATTCACGGGTAGGCCAAGTGAATACTCTAACCTAAACCCTTAACACGAACCCCTAAACCTAAACCCTAAACCACACACAGTGACCAAGCTGATTACCCCACCATGTCCATCCTTTTGACTTATCTCCCTCCAACCCCTATGTGCACACAAAAACGATTGGCTCACTTCGGAGCAAATTTGAAAAATTATTTTTTTTTTTTTATCGACTTTACGAGGGGGGGAATTCCCCAACGGGAGAAACACACCGTCGCAGGAAATAACACTGCCCAGGTTATGTGCCGCATTCGAAACGGTGAAATGCACCATAAATGACACCCGCTTTTGCACTTGGTCGTCACAGCAAAGTGAATCAATCGGGGGAGGCTACCCTCCATGCGAAAGACGCAGAAACGGATTAACGAGCAAATGGTAGAGTGAAAAGATATTTTAACATTTTTCCTATTATTTTTTGCAAAATTAAAAAAATGACAAATGGCTGGACATTTTAATGCACCTCTTCGTGTCAGAGCATTCCTCGACTCATCTTCTTGTCGTACCTTTGCGAGGGGTAAGAAAAAAAAAAGAACGTGAGTAGTAGGTCTGTTCATTCGGAATGGGCGTGAGGATGAGGTGGATCCGATTGGGGTGGTGGAGCTCTACCAACAAAAGTTGTGCAGGGTAGCGGCCTCATTTAGGAGACGCTCCTCTCTTCCCATTTCTCCTTCTTACTGGCGTCTGTGGGACTTCCCCTTGTTGGTCGTCTTCTTCATGTAGTACCGCTTGGTCCTGTTTCCTACGAGGAAGGAAAAAAAAGGGAAAAGGAAAGGGTCAGTTATAGCGCACAGGAAGGGGAAAGCGCCAGCTATAGCGCAGAGAAAGGGGCACACTGAAGAAACGCAGCTTTTATTACCTCCATCAGAACACCCGTCGCCCTTCGGCGCGCCTTCTGCACCCTCAGGAGTCCTAGTGCCACGCTGCTGCAGGGGCGGCCTGCTTATGCTAAACATTCCTTCTCCTCGCTTGGCATGCCCACGCGAGTGAGGAACGCCCCGCCGGCCAGCAACACCACGCCTGTCAACACCACCACGTCGATCAGGATCACCACACCTGTCAACACCACCACGCCGGTCAGCAGCACCACCACGTGGGAGGCCCCCATCACTGGCGCCGCTCCCCTCTTCACGAATCCTCCTGTACGACGTGCAGGGCAACAGATCATTCTGGAATTTTTCCAGCGAAGCATCCCCCGAGAAGCCATCAGAATTGCTCGACCTATCAAGGAGGTCGAAAATCTTGTTTTTATTTTCTTCCCCTAGGTCATCATTGCTGTATCTACTTTTGCTCATTTTCCTTCTGTGGGGCTTTTCCATCCGTGTGCGTTCACGCAGCACGTCCAGGATGTTCCTCTGCCTATGTTTTGCAGCCGCGCGTGGTTTGGCGTGATCGGCTCGGTTGCTCTCTTTGACAAGGCGTCCAGGGCTCCGTCCATCATCATTAATTTGGTCAGCTCCACTTGGGCCATCGGTACTTTCTTCATCCTCACTTCGATCATCGCTACTCGTCCCGGCTCCCACCCCCGTGGCGAGGACGTCCTCCACCGCTTTGCCAACGTCGAAGTTGTTCCTCCGTAACACCTTCACTACAACACCGACATCCTTCAAACTGGTGATCTCCATGATGCTCTCGATCTCGTGTCGATATTTCATCTGACACATTTTGTTGACTCTCTTTTTGCTATTCACTCTTAGAAAATCATTCAGGTAGAAATAAAAATCCACATCGAGTTTCTCCTTCAGGACAAATGTTCGTAGAAACCTCCAATCGCATAGCTGCATGTCGTTTCGTAGGAAATAGAGGAGATTCATTTCTTCACTTGTTTGTTTCAGCATGTCGATAATGATGGAGACGACTACGAGTTTGTTCTTTTCGTTCCCGTGGAGAAGGAGGTACTTCACCAACATGGTTAGTATTTCCGCGAAGAGATGCCGCAGGTAGAGCAGGTCCTTGCGAGTGGGCTCCTTCAGGGTGTCATCGTACAGGTGGTGAATCTAAGGGGGGGAAAGACGTGGAAGGAGTGGAATGAGCAGAAGACGTGGAAGCAGTGAATTAGTGAAGGTGTTGCCGCACGTTCCGATGAGCTTTCCCTTTCCTCCGGCTGCGAACGCGATGTGAAGTCGAAAGGTGCCTCTCCTGTGGGCCTACCATTTCGAAGTAGGTCTGAACCACCAAATGGAGGAAGGAACTGCCTCCGGAACCCTCCTCTCCCTTGAGAATCTCCGGCGCAGAAGTAGACAGAGAGGAAGACCCCATGTCCACGCCTCGATAAAATATCAACCTTAGGAGGATCAAATCATTCGTCTGTTTATTTTGGCCACGATCGAAATAATTGAAGGGGTGAAAAAAATTGACAAAACAGAACACAGCAACTAGAAACTCGTTTATCCTGGAGAGGAGGTTCGGTAGATTCCCCCCCCTGTTGTGAGCATACCGTCCGATCTGATCCTTCAAAGTCTTCACCTCCTCGTACAGGAATGACAAATACTTACTTATGTTGAGGAAATTTATTCTGTTCAGTGTGTAGGCCTCGTTTAACAACTTTTTTATTTCCTTTTTTCTCTTTTTCGATCGATGGAACATCATGATGATGTCCATAAAGACGTGGAGTTTTATCAAGGTCGATTTTATTGTACTCGTTTCCCGCCTGTCCCTGTTCAGGTAAATTCTGACCAATTTCACGTACAGTTGGAAAATGTGCTTATCAAATGGGGAAAGCCCCTTCTTCCTCTGCCTCTGCTTCTCTGCGTCCTTTTCCTTTTCCTCCTCCCGTCGATCGAACGGTAAATCGTAACTCCTATTCGCACTTAACAAATGGGAAAAGAAAAACGAAATGAGCGACCCATTTTTCTTCACTGTCGCGAGGATGTACTCATCGCTTTGTCGCAAAAGGTGGTCAAAGCATCTCTCCACAAAGCAAAAGTACAGTTGACGCTTTTCCTCCTCCGCGTCTTTCGTTTCCACGTAGAGAAAGGGCTCCTTGAAGTGGCCCTTCTGTTCCATTGTAGGTAGGGGCCAACAGGAAAAAAAAAAAAAAATAAAATAAAAAGAGGTGGTGGGTGGGGGGGAAAATACTCCACAAAAATGCTCCAAAGGGCAAAAAGAATGGTCAAGAAAAACGCCCCCCCAAAAAATTCCCCCAACTGTTACGGACAAACTTCGCCCAGTTTTTGCCAATCGCTGAAAAACCACGCCACTGTGTTTGGCCAGCCCCGCTTCGCATGCTCCTCCCGTTTAATCCTTTATAATGAGGTAGATTTATCCTTCCCTTTCGTCAACATCGTGGAATTCTTTACCCCGTCCAGAATGTTCACCTTTGAAAGCTCCGAGTTATCTTTCGATCGATTTTTTATGAAGTAGTCACACTCTACGTATCTCTGTGTGCAATTCCAGATGCACTTCTTGTTCGTGTTGCTCAGGCTTTTTTCTAAGAAGGGGTAAGACAGGAGGGATAAAGTAACGGGGGGGAGGTTGTCTCTCGTTGGGTCATATCAGGGTGGGTTGTCCACTTCTGGGTTCCCCTTTGGCCTGTGAGTGACTGCGACACGTTGCCACGTTTATCATGCCTTATTGGTACGTACTTTCACTTTTTGTCACGTTTTCTTTTCTGTCACTTTTTTTTCTCCTTTTTTTTCCCCCTCTTTTTTTCCTTTCTTCTCTTCTGGCTTACCCGGGTAGCTCACGCATTTATCGAAGCAGTAGGACGATATCTTGCAGGTCTCCTTGAAGGAACTTATCAGCTGCTCAGAAGGGGGGAAGGAGGACACGGTAAAGAGATAATGGCTCAAGGATGGTTCCGTTATGAAGCACTTTATGACGAAACGCTGGATAAGGGTGCCAACTGGGGGGAGAGATCCCCACTCTGAGAAATCACACACAGAAACAGGTTTGTCTCAACGCTCACGTGTTCCAGCTTGCGCCTATGTGGGCACACCCACAGCGACATCATCCACAAAAGAGAGATGTACCTTGTTTAAGGTATTCAATTGGGATACGAAATTATTAAGGTTGCTATCATCCTTGGTATCGTCATCCATTGTTTGGTAATGGGGGGGATGACATACACGGACCATGTAGCGTATTCTTCTCTGCTAGTCGACCCGTTCTCTCTTCCCTGTTCGATCTCTTCTCATGTCATCACAAGTTGGCTGTAGGAATGCCACATTCACTTCGTTCAATAGCATGTACGTCTCGTCGCCTTTTAAATGCATTCCTTCACAGGATTTTGCTCGATAAAAAGTAATACGAGAAAATCGTAAAAACGGTAAAACGACGCCTCGATGTTTTCTCGTCACTTCAGGGCACGTGGTGCGAATGCGCAGGGGCGGACATCTGTGTAGGTTGCCTTGAAGGAGGGGTCCTCTACTAAGGGAGCGCGGGATTTTACATATCTTATTGATACATATCGTATATGTATACACCGCGTGGTATCCCCTAAATGACAAAGGGAAGGGAATGCAAAAAAAAAAAAAAAAAAAAAACGCTTTTTAAACCGTGTTGTGAAGTTTTTTTCAATATTATTGTTCTTTATTAGCAATAATGACGTTCTCGTTTCGCACCGGTGGCGTTTTCCTTTTTCACGTGGAACTCGTCCTATTTTTTTTTTTTTTTCTTTTCATTGGAGCCCCGTTTAAGCGACAAGGAAAATTCTGCTTTTTTTTTTTTTTTATTTTATTCTATCTGATTTTTCTCCTACCTGAGAAATGAAAAATCATGGGAATGTACAACTCTGCATCCAACTGCCCATTCCCCCTTGCCTCTTTCCTTTTCGCGATCCCCCCCAGGAAAGCTCGTAGGAAGTCCTTAAGTCAACATTACCGGGGGGGAAAATGAACGCAAACAATAGGCAGCTAGTCAGGGATATCTACAAAATAGGTACAGTGTGCACCTGTACGAGGGTTGTGTTGTACGACATTTGCGCACATTGGGGCAGGCGTGTGGGCAACCGTTCGCGGCTGTAAAGGAGCAGCGGAGGAGCAGCGGAGGAGCGGCGACGGAGCATTTCAGAGAGCGCCCAACCAAGTCAGGTCATTCCAATCACAGCTATACCCACCACGCACCTTCCATTTTGTTACCACCATGTGCAGGAATAGACCACAAGGACTTCATCAACATAGAAAATCTGGAAGAAATATATGAAAAGAAAAAAAATGTAAAGCTACGGAGAAGCGAAATTGTGTACGCGCTGAATATCCTCGAAAACGCAAGAGCCTGCGCGATAAAGAATGAAAACAACACAATCAAAACGAGGATGCGCAGTGAAGAAGTTACGAAGAAATTGAAAGAGCTGAGTGACATTGATTTTTTAATTTTTACCAAAGTGGAAAATAGCCAAAATAATGGAATTTGGACAGCTGACCTGAGGAAGCAAACCAAATTGCTAGTAAGATATATATATATGTATTTTTTTTTTTTTTACCTGACTTGGTCATAATTTTGGAAAAAAGAAAAAATACACCTAGACCCGTTGCCTGAACGGGACACTTCTTTTGAACTACAACGTTCAGATGTTCAAAATAGCTCGTCCATGTTGTGGACACGCGTGTAACGGGGAAGGACAAACATGCCCTCACTCTTATTCTGTCCCTCTTTTCTTTTAGATTCACCAAGTTCAGAAGGGCGTCAAGCTGCTGTGCGAGTGTAAGCTGATAAAGCAGGTAAGGCAGGAAGAAAAAAAATAATAAAAAATAAAATAAAATAAAATGAAAAAAAAAATATGAACCGTTCAGGCAATTTTGCACCTTTTTTTTCCCCCGTTCAGGTAAATAACATCCACGTGAAAAATCGCAAAATGTATATATTGTACGATTTAGAGGCCTCAGAAAAGGTAATCCAATTGAGTGGGCATGGAAGGGGGTCCAACTGACTATCCGAAGAGGACCCTATTCGTAGCAGCACAAGGGGTCTTACAGCGCCGTTTAGCCTTTTCTCCGTCACTATGTTGCTGGTTATCACTCTTTGTTGCCTCCATTCCACTCCACCGCGCAGGTCATAGGAGGCTCCTTTTACACCGACGGAGAATTCAACCAAGACGTGGTGGACTACATACGGGAGAACATTTGCTTTTACCTCTACAACAACAACAACAAAGCGAATGTCATGTCCGTCATTAATTACATAAAAAACGTCAACAACAGCGTCGGCTACTTCTCCGACAATGACATATATAGAGTAATAAAGACTTTGCTGTATGAGGAGCAAATCAAAATTTACAGAAATGGTAACGACGAGGAGATAATTTATTATTACAATAATCAGAAGAAAAACTACTTGAGCAACTTCCCCTGCTTTTCTTGCGATATTTTTAATAAATGTAACTCGGATACGAAAACGGCTATTAATCCGAAGAAGTGCGTCTACTTGAATTTTTACCTTAATCTGGAGGTAATGCGCGAATGTATGGTGGGCGGTTGGCAGGCTTGCTTCTCAATGAGGGGAGATGCTGCTCGGTTAGCAACGTGGTATGGCCGCCTCGCATGTCAGCCCACCCATCTTTACACAGCCCCATTCGGCCACTCATCCTGGTTTTCCTTCCCATTCGCTGCCCTTCCTACAGAATGAGTAGCACCCTCCCGTCGGACAAGAAGAAATAGACGCGAGTTAAGCACCCGTTAGAGGGTCAAGACTGGAGTGGATTGTTCCCCTTTTTGTCTTCTTTTTTTTGTATGCTATGTTTCGCCATATACGCGACGTATGCTCGAAACGAAGTGAAAAGCGAAGCGTGGGTTAGTTTAAATGGATTAAATTCTCTTTAAATTTGTATACCATTGTCAATCTGTTTTTTTTTTTTTTTTTTTTTTTTTTTGTCCATTTTTGAAGACCCATCGTATAGGTGTGTCCTTTTTTTTTTTTTTTTTTCAAACTTGCGAGTGCATTTGTCAAATTGGAGGAAAAGACACCTCTGTAACTTTATTACCATTTTTTTTCTTCTCCTCCCAAACGAGTGGTGGATAAAACAAAGAGAACAGTTTAATCAATTGCGAGTAAATTATTAACATAGGTATAAGTACACGTGATGTGCCTAATGTAGTGTACCGCTTAACGTGCCACTGTGTGTTTCCGTCCTCAACGGGTGACACACTTGAAGGGGACATAAAAAAAAAAAAAAAGACAACCCGCACCATTATGAGTGGAAGAACAAAAAGGGAAAAGAATTACACCCGGATAAAGGAACAAAAAATACTGCAGTATGATTCGTAAAAATGGAACCTTTTTTTTTTTTTTTTTTGGAAGGGTGGAGGTGATCCCCTCACCTGGCTGTAACGGATAAAGTGGGGGCAAATTGTGGCACCCCTTTTTTTTTTTTTTTCGCTACTGAGTAGTGATGCCACTTCATCTGTTCCTCAACCTGCTCAGGAAAGAATGCGAAATAACGAGGAGTGACTGCGAGGAGTTTATTCGGGTCGTCAAAAGGTAAGGTCTACACAGAAGGTAAAAAAGAAGAAAAAAATATAGAAATGTCGTCCTAATTTTGGTACGGTGCATGCGTTGTTGCCCGTAGTGGTAGTAGAGGATCAGATGGGAAGCATCAAGTGGGACCAAAAAAAAAAAAAAAAAAGAAAGCATACTTGACTGAAATTTTCCAGACCACTCTCCACCCTTGAACACCTTTTCTCGCCACAAAAGGTTCGGCAAATCCTTCGCAGAAAATGACTTAGCCCAGTACTGTCGTCTAAATAACATCCCGATAAGCGAGTAAGCTATGTGGAGGTCGCCTCAGCGTCGCATTATATTTCAACGTTCGTCTTCCTCCGGTGCACACCTGTTGGCGTGTACCTTTAAAGTGAACGCGGACTTTACGAGCTGTTTACCCTACGACCTTCTTCCAACCGTCGCAGACACACCATAGAATGCATGTTCGAGGAGTTCTTTCTAAACAAAAAAAACGAGAGGGAGTAAGTCCACGCGAAAAAAGTCATCTGTGTTATCCCGCTTTGTGAACCCATTCTGTGAACCCCCTTTGTGAACCCATTTTTTGAAACCCCCCCACTGTAGGAGCCGCGAAATCACCGCCGACGATCTGATATCCTTGACGTCCAAAAAAACGAACAGATGCTTCTACGTGCCGGTCGTCGTTTACATAGGTGATGCCGCAGTGGGGGAGATGCAAAACTGGGGAGGCAATCAACCAAAATGGTGCTGCCCCATGTGTAGCATTTGTCTCCACGGGGGAGGCACCTTAGGCTAAAAAGTCCCTTCTACGTGTGACTTCTCCCCCCCCCGCAGGAAAGTGTAACCACATACGAAGCTACGAAGAAGGGCTCATAAACGCAAAGGAAAGAAGAAAAAAAAATGAACAAATCGAAAGGGACAATTGGAAAAGACAGATCGAAAGGGACAAGAGAAATAGGCAGAAAAATGAGCAGATGAATTACGTATGGGAAGATGAACTGTGGGGCAGGTCCAACTGTTGCAGGGAGGCCATGTCGACAGATCCAGAGGGGAAACTTGAGCTGGGGAGCACCCATGCGAAGACAACAAATGGTGATAGCACGAGGGGATGCCAAGATGGGGAGGAGAACGGGGGAGTGGTCCCAAATGGTGAAACCGACAGGGGCGAGCCGAGTCCCAGAGAAGCGAATCGTGCTAACGCCGAACAGCCGCATGCTCAGGTGGACTCTCCCAACCGAGTCGAAGCAATTGAAAAGAAAGAAGGCAAACAGAGCAGCCACAGCATCAAAAACAATAACAATACAAATAACAGTGCCAAAATGAAGAAGTCTGCACCGGGCAGAAAAGGCAAAAGGGGGCAGGGAGGGAAGGCCGCAGCCGCTCACCAAGAGAAGAAGACGAATGGGCCACCCCCCGCGGAGGAAACAAAGCAACACTCCCCAGAGGAACAGAATACGGACAAGCAAATCTACTACGACTTCCTAATGCAGCGCGTCCTAAATAACATAGAAAAGAAAAAAGAGAGAAAAAAAAAACATCTCAAAACATTCAACTTTGTTACTTACTACAAACTGCATGAGCTGATATATACCTCCTTCCTCGTGGACAAGTACAAGGGCTACTTCAACGGTAGGGGAGTGGAAGACGCACATTGGGAGGGGACACCAGCCCATGCCTTTTTTGCGCCCCTACACACCTAAGTGCGTGTCCCACTTCGTAATGCCCTTCCCTCCTGACAGCAAAAGAAGAGAGTAACCTGATCGACATTTATGCTGAGGAGGGGAAAAAAATGGACCCAAGTGAAGACGGCGGAACAGGTGCCCCAGGAGAGACAACCAAGGACAGTGGCGAAGCAGATGGGGCAGACAAGATGCAAGCGAGTGTAGAAGACATGAAAAGGATTACCCTCGCGGATGTTGTACAGAAATACGAAGGGGACAGGGAGAAAGAGGAAAAAAAAAAAAAAAAATTAAAAAAAAAAACACATAAGTACATACATAGTAATAATCTAGCCAATTATCAATTTGTCGGGAAAAATATCGAAGGAATAATGAGCTCCGTTTTGCACAACTTAAACTTATTTTTCAATGACAACGTGTTAGACGTCGAGCCGGTGATGGAGCAGTACAGTACCGTGGTGCGCAACGTTTGTGACGCGGCGGAAAGCGGCCAAGGGGATGTCTGCAAACAGGTTGTTATTCCAATCGATGCGGATAAAGCACAGGAGGAAATTCCCAATGGGGACAACACCCTTTCTGGTAAGTTAATCGAAGGGAATGAAAAAGCGTCTGTCCCGGTTGAGTCTCTCCCCTTAAACGAAGAGGAAACAGCAACAGTTATAAGTGCGCCTACATGTGCTAGCCTCCCCCGCTTGAAGAACAGAAAAAAATGCACCCCCAATGGGGAAGTCGTCACTTTTGATCAGACAAGCGAGACAGTGAGGAAGATGAAAAAAGAGGACACCAAAGGAGATGATAACCCCAAGTGCGCAGAGGGGGAAGGGGGTGCAGAAGGACAGGGTGTGGTAGAAGACGAAGCGAAGGGGCCAAACACGAACATAAAAAGAGGGCGTAAGGCAGGGCGCGCGAAACGAATGCACCTTTTCAAGAGGCCCCCTGGTACACACCAATCCGAAATTGACGAAGGAATCAATGCGCCGTGCGACGTCCAACTTGACAACGAAGCAGCTGCATCCGACCATTCCATAAGTTACGCGAATTTAAAATACACCAAGGAGGAAATAAAGCAGAAAAATCTCATCTACTATTTAACACATGATATAAACCAAATTGAAACATTCAAAAGAAAATACTTTTACGACTTTTTTTTTATGTACATGGTGAGGAAGCTCTTCTGGAATGTGCTTTGTTTGTATTACTTGCTATGGAAGGAGCGGCTCTCGAACGATGCACCAATGCAGAATAGCTCACCAGGCGATGCCACCCTCCACCAATCACTGAGCAGCCCCCTAAGCAGCTCGCTAAACAGCCAAGGCCTGGATGATGCCAACCTAATTCTGTACGAAAGCGACGTCAGCGTGAACAACGCCAAGAAGGACAAAACCATGCTGTACAACACTAACCAGAAACTGTGCCACAACCTGGACCCCCTATTTAAATTAATTCGTAAAGAAAAATTGCTCATTTACCTTCGTTATGACAAAAATAAAAGGGTCAAATGTAAGAACAAAACGGAATACTTGTACAGAGAAATATGGCAGTACCTTATTTTAACGAACTTAAGGCAGAAGGCGCAAACTGGGACATATAGCCCCAGTGAGTTCGTCCTCTTTCGCCAGAATTGAAAAGAAGAAGAAAAAAAAGAAATAAGAAACGCGCGAATTTGCCTGAATGGTTCATACTTTTTTTTTATTTTTTTTTTTATTTTCTCCAAATGGCTAGTCGAAATGTTTTCCCCCAAAATGGGGAGGATTTCTTTTCTCACTCCTATTTACATAGCAGCGTGCGATAAAGGTATTCCCCGCTTATGGGGTGTGTGGTTAGGAATGGATATCCCTCCTTGGAAAATGAGGAAAGCGTCCTTAGCAAATGCAACGTCGTAAATAGGGTCTCACCGATGCATGGTTGGCAATTGCGCCGTACATTTGGCTTCTCCTCTTCATGCGTTATAGTAAAGTGCCATTTCAGTTTTGCCTCTCAGCCTTAATGGGGCGTGGGCACCTCCTTGTCAGTTGATCTGGGGTGCGGGATTTTTGGGGTCCCGAGCTACCCCGTACACGAATGCAAAAGAGCATATTGGCATACATTTTATGCATACAATATACTAATCTATTGCCATATATACCATGACGCGCTTTTTTTTTTTTTTTTTTTGGTACCTAGCTTGACTTTCTCCCCGTCGTAGCAACATTCATATGGATAATGTATCAGCAACTGCTAGGCAGTGCACGCCTCTACCGCGATACCGCCCACGCTTTTCTGTTTCGTCACATCTTTGCGGCTTCTTCACCACATCAGGGTTGACAAATTGGGGCTACCCCGACCCGCTATCGATTCAACGGCTTTGCGCACGGCGTTCCCCCCAAAAAATGACGCCAAAAGGGAAGTCACTCCCTCGGGCCGCGAACAAAACCACTTACATCGGCTTAGGAAAAAAAAAGGAGGCCCTTCCATTTGAAGAGAAGGGCCAGGTGCATTACTATCCCCACGCACAACTTTTTTGCCGCAAAATGGCCCCAAAAAAGGAGGCCCAAAAAAAAAGATGCCAAAAGAATGTTCCCCACTGCATTGCACGATTGATTGAAGGAAAGAGAGAAAAAAAATGAAAAAAAAAAAAAAAAAACAAAAAGGAAAAAAAGAAAAAAACATTTTAACGATTAACAGAAAAAATAGAAAACACCAACTTGGCAACTATTTAGAGGAAACCTCATTTTCACGAGTGACTTTTTTGACCTACCCGTAAAAGAGTACTTCATCTTCTTAATCTCCCCCCCTGCAAAAGTAAGCATTTGCTCACGTCCTCGAAGAATGAGATGAGATACCATGAAATGCGTGTCATCCGATGAGATGAAAGATATCTTCTAGGCGGGAGACTCCGTTTAGTGGCCGATGCGTCAACTCGCCTGTTACTTCGCTCTGCATTCCGTTGTATGCCTGCTTATACGCTCACACGCAGCTTAAATACGCCCCTACACGTATCTCTTCCCCCCTTGCGACCGCTTCTCTTTGCAGTGCCCCCTAAGGAGAGAAAAACAAAGGAACAAATTGCGGCTGCCGCAGCAGCCTCGGGAAGAAGCAAGAAAAAGGTAACGACTCCCCCTGAACAGTGGCCCATGCGTGTGGTCACTTGACGTGAGGTGCGACTACCTCAGCGTCGTACTACAACTTGGGGGAGCTCACAGGGGCTCATATACCCACGGGCCACGCGCTTATCGAGCAAAATGTTTCTCTTCCCCTGTCACCTTGCCGCTCTCATTTTGCCGCTCTCATTTTGCCGCTCCCATTTTGCCGCTCCCATTTTGCCCCCTCACCTCCTCTGCAGAAATGGGGAAAGGGAAAGAACAAGGAGAAACTGAACCACGCCGTGTTCATCGACAAAGCCCTGCAGTCCAAAATCCTAGAGAGTAAAAACATGAAGGTCATCACCCCCTCCACCATCTCAGAAAAATATAAAGTCAACTTAAGTGTCGCAAGGTCGGTCATAAAATATCTAGCGGAGCAAAATTTAATTAAGGAGGTTTGTATGCAGAGTCATAGTCAGAAATTGTACACAAAGGTTGCCTAGAAGAGGAAGGAGCCGCTCAACAGGGGGGGTAACCTCCTAACCTGCCCCCTTCCTCTTAGGTTTTGTGTGCATGTATGTGCCCTTACGCTCAAGCGTCGCCTGTATTTATCCATATGGTTACTCCTGTACTTACGTAGAGTAAACAGGTGTACCCTTCGAAACTGTACAACTTTTTTTTTTTTCTTTCCCTCTCCCCCGTGTAACTCTTTCGCATGACCTTATCTATCCCGTTGCACTCGTGACTCTTACCAAAGGGAAGGAACACCCCCTAAAAGTGAAAACAACCTCACATGATAAGACATTGTAAAAGGTTGAGGAGGTTATATGTCAAGTGCCCTCACCCCCAAGGAATCGAAGCGGGGCATCCTACTCCGCGCATATAATACGATTAACAAAACCGATCCTGACTTCTTCCCCCCTCGCTGTCCCCCCACATGAATGAAACAAAATGATGACACAGAAAAAACTAAACAAAGGGTGACGCAACTTTAAAAAAGTGATTTAAAAGATTTCTTCTTTTTATTCATTTTGTTTAATTTTGCGAACGCACGTGATCCGCGCAACTTAGTCATAGTTACTCTGATTGTTTCGTCTGTGGCGCACAGCGGTGAAGTGGACAGTGAGGGGGAGAAGAAATGAAGAAGGGGGGAAGAGGAGAATAGGAACTGGAGAAAGGAAATGGAGAGGATATAAAAGATCTGGCTAACGTCACGTTGTCCATATCGTATCTTCAATGACGCCTCACGAATTCCGTCTCCCCAATTTCGCGTCCTCCCCATTGGAGGATTCAACAAAGGGGTCATCACAGCGCTGCAAAAGTGCCTTCAGTGCGTGTCCTTCGGTCGACGTGGTGTGTACAAATGGGGGGCTAATTCTCGTAATGCGATTTAAGATAGAGAAGCCCTGCTAGGCTGCCCTCTGCTAGGTGGGAGGCCGTTACAGGACGGGCTCCTCATAGGCGCAAAGATGTATCGAGTTTGAAAAAGGGGAAACATGTAGGGAAACACGTAGACAAGCATGTAGCCAACCGGATGGACGACAAACAGACGAACCGTCGCACTCACTGGCGCCTTTTTGACGCGGTGAGCTAGACGTCTCCGAAGAAGAAAATGCCAATCTCTAGCCAGCTCTCCGTGGAGTAAATAACCTTTTCCCTCTCATCGTACAGGTCGTTTAGCTCCTCGTCGCGCTCTTCGGTGAGGGGCGCCATTTTGTTCGCGGTGAAATTGGTGGTAGGGGTCACGTCGGTCGTAGCATCATTGCTGCTGGGAGTGGCGCGATTCAAGCTGGTACTGGCTTCAGTGATCCTTCTATCCGCGCCATTCATGCTGGTAGTCAGGCCCCCCCTCCTGCGCGTCAGGAGCTCAATCTTAGCCGCTGCGCACACGAGGGGCTTAATAACGATGTTATGCTTCTCGCAGAAACTGATTAGCAGCTCGTTGTGCCCCACCAAGATGGCGATGTCCGAGTGCAGCATGGCGTCAAGGTCTATGAGGCTGTCTCCGATGAAGGCGGATAGTTTGTGGTTAATGTGGCGAAGCAGCGAACACACCCTCGTTTTGATTAATGTCTTATCGTAAAAGGAGCAAAGTGAAACCTTTTCGATCACACCGTTGGGGTTTTTTCCCCCATCGTCATTACCATCCCTCCTGGGCTGGTACTCACCATGCTTGATTTTCAGTCGGTTGTAATCGAACGACCCTGTGTATTTACGCTGTCCCTTGTCGTACGTGTGCGTCTTGGAGTAGTACACATGGAAGTACTTCTTAAAGGTGTGGTAGTAGTCCTCCTGAGAGGCGGCTCCCTCCCGGTTCTGAAAGGGCGCCCCCTCTTTGCTCCACGGTGATGGCGGCGACAGGGGAAGAGTTATTCCTTCCCCTTCCTTAACCTTCAACAAATTGTTCCTTATGGTATAGAGGCAAATCTGCTTCTTCAAATTTAGTGTGATAATGTCAAAATAGAAGGAGTCCTTATTTTCCATTTTATGATTGAGCAGATGGAGAAACACCTCCAGAAAGTAGTCATTCAGCTGGAACCGTTCGTAATGCTCACTGATTAGGCCGTTCAAGACATCCACGTCGACATCCTTGAACATATCGTAATAGGATAGCAGCATAGAATATGTTATGTGTATCTTGTCTACTTGGTTCAGATAGTAGTAATACGATTCTGAATAAACTTCTTCTCTGTTTTCTCTGTCTCTTTTTAGTTCCTCTAATATGGCGACTTCTTTAAGGACAAACCACTGACCCATCTTGTGTAACCATTCAATCCTCTCCTGTGTTGTAGGTTCCGGTTTGTTCTGCATCTTGTCCAAGGAGAAGTTATCGAAAAAGAATATCTCCTCTTCTGTGAGAGTGTCCTTTCCAGGCCTTACACTCTCCTTATAATAGTTTTTCTCCAAAATTTTAAAAAACGCTGAATAGGAGTCCTTTTTTATTATCGTCTTGTCGAAGTCTATGCCGATGTAGAAGAAGTGGTTGATGCAGGGCAGCAGGGGGGGGTCGCTTGCTGCATCGTTCACGTTCGAGTGAACTGGGGAGTCGCCGATAATCGGTTTGGCAGCTATAGCAGCGAAAAACTGGCTCTGCAGCGCGGTCGCATTCCTCAGTGCGTTCAAATCGTGCAGGATGTCGCCCCACGTGTGGTTGCTGTCCCGGCTGTCCCCTTTCTGTGCCATCCTCTCCCTTGATAAGAAGTATAACATTGTTTCGTTCAGCTCCATGAAATCTCCCTTTGCATACTGTTCGATGCACATTCGGTACATGGCGAAGCGGTGCAGGTCGCCACTCAGATGGTTGCTGAAGTGGATGTCCGTGTTTTTGTCCACATTGCCGCTCAACTGGTTGTCTGCATAGCAGTTTGGCATCCCAGTGACGGGAAGGTGTCGCCCCACCTTGGCCCTACTAACCGCCAGCGAGCTGACGTAGAAGACATTCGAGAAAACATAAATAAAGGCATATACCCCGTATAGATCCTTCATATGGGCGTCGTGCCGATTTTCTCCTCCCTCGCTGCTCTTCCCAGAGGGTTCATTCAAAAAGGGGAAGTATTTCACTAAGCTGCTAAACACATCGTCACTTTCTTTAGGATCGACGACCAGCTGCGCCGTCTCAATTTGTTTGTCCTTTCCTCGCAAGGTAGCCAACTCTCTGTACACACCTAGAATGACATCTCTGCACTGATTGAGCAAATGAGTAAGGTTCTCATTTGAAGTCTCCTCCGAGAGCACCTCCACACACTTTATGCATCTGGATAGGACACACAGATTGGCAGACAAAAAATTAAAAAAAAGGTTTTTCTCCAAATAAGTGTAAGTCAGAGATCGGATAAAATCGTTATGTACACATTTGAGAAAGTTACGTTCGCAATGCTTCCTAACCAAGTAGGCATAGTAGAAGGTCAGGAGGTTTTCTCTCTGCAGGATCGCTTTCTTCAATTCAGATTGGGGTGTCACTTGCAATTCATGGGCAGTGTATTTTATCACTTCCTTGTAATGCTCACTGTGGTCATAGCAATTGAGGACGTTTCTGTAATAGCTCTTTTCAAACACGGTCTTCCTTCTTACGTTGTTGATTTTTTTCTTCACATAGTTGAGGTAGTTGACGTAGCTGTCGGGGGTGTCCGCTCCGATTGAGTTGTTCCCTCCGATTGAGTTGTTCACCCCGTTTGGGTTAGTCACCCCGTTTGCATCCCTTTCAGTCGCCACTGCGTTCTGTTCATCCCCCTTGGGGGTGCCATCGCTCAGTCTCTTTAACTCGAGAAAAATCTTCACCTCCCTCTCTAACTCCTTTTCTCGGCTGATTCGCAGCTTCTCCAGGAGCAGCTTCACGTCCTTCATTTTGCGTTCTTGTCTCGTGGGGCACGGTGGAAAGCGGTTCAGAGGGGATGGGGCGCACTTAGTCTTTTCGCGGAGGGCGTCGCGGGATGCGGCCACGAGTGGGCTCTACCAGTTTGTCTACAAGTTTGTCTACCAGTTTGTCTACCAGTTTGTCTACCAGTTTGTCTGTTGCTTCTCTTCCGCTTCTCTTCCCCTTGTCTGCCTATTCCTCCATCACTTCTCGCACCTTTCCACCCCCACTCCCCGCGCTGTTAACAACTCACAGAGATATATTCGCTGCTCTCCCCACGCTTCGGGCTGTATATAGAAAAGTACAAGTTAAAACGCAGAGCGTGCGAAGCTAGCTGCCGCGCGTGGAACTACTGACCAACGACCATTGCTTCATTCGCAATGGGAAGAGGAAGGACAGCAGGAGAAGAAGCATAGCAGAAGAAACAACTCTCCCTCTAGCTTATAATTTCCCAGGTTATCGTTACCAGAGGGGGAAAAAACACCCGTCTTGTCGAATCAAATATATTTGTAAATCCCTCCTGGTGCCGCGGCGCAGCTGTGTCACTGCATCGCTCCCCGGTGCTTCCTCCAGGCACGGGACACACTATTGACTGCTAGAGCTTTTGACATGCAAAAAGCTGCTTCGTCCCTTCACGTGGCTATCTCTTCGCCTTCGCAGAAGAGGCAGGTGTATGTATTCATACACGTGCGGTTACAGATGTGTTATTTTACTTTTTCCGGGACGAAACAGACGGCCATCAAAAAAGCAGTTCCCCCGTTATGCAGTTGTTCGGCTGTGCAGTTGTTCGGCTGTGCAGTTGTTCGGCTGTGCAGTTGTGTGGTTATGGTCTGTTCCCCTCTGCCGCCTCCATTGGTGTGGATGATGAACAAGTGGGCGGTGCAGCGGGGGGTTGCAAGAGCGGCTGGGAAGAGGACGTGCACGCAACTGTGATCTCACTCAGATCCTACATGTGCCAGTGGCAAAATCTCCCCACACTCATGGCCCCCTCTCCTCATACATAATTGTACATATATGAAGTTACGTATGTTCATATGTGTTCAATATCCGCGCGAGAGAGGTAACTACTGAAA